ATCTACTACTACTATACACCATACAAAATACACTCTTATCTTTGATTTTAAATTCTATAAATAGAGTACAATAAAAAAACTGCCACTGTTAATGGTTTTGTTTGGTTTACAATTTAATTAAATATATGTTTTGCGCATTTGGAACAATAGGTACGTATATTAGGTACTTATGTACAAATTAATTATCAAAACATGTTATTAAAAGTGTTAAATGTCTGTAAAATTTTCCATTTCCTCAAGTTACTTTAATAATTAAATTACAAATGATACCCAACATTATAAACACAGAGAAATAAAATGGTCTTAAAGCTCATGTTGACCCATGGTAGGTACTATGTAATGTACGTGATGCGTAGTTCATCGACTCACTGATGAATCATTATGCGGCGAGACAAAGGTTTTTGCACGTGCGACTTTTTAGAAAAACAGTTTGTGTTAAGTAAAGCGGCGATATTTCGCACATTCTGTACTATTTTCGTGTTTTTATGCGTATAATATTTTAATAACCGCAAACTGCTTCGTAAATGTTATTGAAGCTTTTGTTATTATTGAAACTTGTTGACATATTCTCTGTCTTATTAGGTAAGTACCTACATAAAACAATGTAAACCAATAGAATATCAAACACATTTTGGCTCATTTATGGTATAAAATGCGGATCGACTGGGGACCAGCGTGATATATTGTTTCTATAGACTTAAAGTCTTATACAAAATTCGCGAGTACTTGACTGTGGATATGCGCATTAAGTTGTGTGAAACTCTCATCTTGTCAAAGTTGCGTAATATGGTGACGCAGTTTTTGGTGAATGCTTAATGGCAAGAACTAAAAAACTGTTACAACGAATACAAAACACTTGCGCACGTTTCTGTTTTTCAATACCACCTCGATCTCATGTCACTCCATTCCTCAACCGACGCGACTTGATGAACATGTCATGAAGAAACTCGAAAACCATAAATTCATTCAAGTTAAAATTTAAAATGTTTTTGCTCTCCTTACAAAAGTCTAGCACTTAGTTGTCACTCATCATTTTCATCCCTGTCTCCACATCCCTCTCTCACACGCACACACGCACGCGCACACGCACACGCACACACACACACATGTACCTTTGTTTTTATTACGATTTTTATAACCTTGTTGTTTTCGTTTTTTGTTTTTTACTATCATTATTTCATATTTTAAAATCTGTTACTTGGTTTTTAAGATATTTGTGTAAGCTGACGGTATCGCCATCCACCTTCTTATATATAGGTTCCACTGAAAATCAGCTTTCATGAAGTTTCTTAGTGTTAAACTTCGTAAATTTAACGCTGAGTGGAAACCTTTTTGGTGCACTAATAGCACTAATTTTTTTCTCTTTGTAACTAAATTATTGTGTTTATGTCTTTTATGTGTTTTTTACGTTTGTGTACCAAATAAATATTTTTCTTTCTTTCTTTCTATATAGTAGCGTTATTCTGCTATTTCTCCCTGGTCCGTAAATCAGTAGAATAATGCTGCTGTATTTCGGATGGTGAGCGTACAAAACAAGAGACCATTTTTTCTGAAAACAAGGCAGTCTATCGTAGGCTAGGGTGAAAAAACAAAAGAAAAACACTGGTCTTCGGGGATAGATCATCTAATTACCATCAGGTGGACTGTGTTCGTTAGTTATCCTTATTCTATAAAATAATATTACTAATATCTTACTTATATTGCAATGCTTTTGGACAGTGGCAGCCTGGCAGCGACCTAAAATATTCCAATTACGAGGGTGGATTGAAAAGTACTCGGCCTAACCAAGAAAATAAACACATACTAAATCAGTTATATTTTTATTTTTCTACATAATCACCATCAAGTTCAATACACTTTTGCCACCTCCCCTTCCAAGCATTTAGACCGTTAAAAAAATGATTCTTCCTTAGAGTCAAAATATGCGTCTACAGCTGCTTTGACCTCGTCGTTTGTCGAAAATCTTTGACCTCCCAAATGCTTTTTTAGGTTAGGGAACAGAAAGAAGTCTGATGGTGTCAGATCAGGTGAATACGGCGGATGCGGTAACAATTTCAAAGCCACAGTTGTGAATTTCAGCCATTGACTGTACTGACGTGTGAACACGGGCGTTATCTTGATGAAACAGGACTTTTCTTCTGAGCATTCCTCGACGTTTTTCTTTTATTTCCTCTCGTAAACGACGTACTAAGGTGCATTAGTAATCAGAGTTTATAGTCTGACCCCTTTCAAGATAATCAATCATAATCACACCTTTCGAGTCCCAGAATACTGAAGCCATCACCTTATTTGCCGACAAAATCGACTTAGCCTTTTTAGGGGGTGGTGAACCAGGTCTTCTCCACTGTTTTGATTGTTGTTTTGTTTCCGGTGTACAGTAATGAACCCATGTTTCGTCCATAGTAACAAAACGATTCAAAAAATCATTTGCATCGGCTTCAAATAACTCCAAACAGTCGCGTGAAATAGTCAATCGCGTCCTTTCTTGTTCAACTGAACGCAGTCGCGGAACCCACCTCGCAGACACCTTGTGGAAACCCAACTCGTTGACAATGATGTTTTGAGTTCGTTCATAAGAGATGCCTATAATCTCGGCTATCTCTCTAATTTTTAATCTGCGGTCTCCCATTATTAAATCAAGTACTTTTTTAATATTTTCGTCAGTAGTTGACGTCGAAGGCCTTCCAGAGCGGGGTTCATCTTTCACACTCTCTCTACCACGCTTAAATTCTGCTATCCATTTTTTGACGGATGAATATGACAGAGCACAATCGCCTAATGTATTGACCTTGTCATCATGGATGGCTTTTGATGATAGCCCCTTCTTATGGAGGTACTTAATGACGGCACGCTGCTCGATTTGCTCCATTCGCGGAAATTATGTCCGATTACTTTGTTAATAAATTTATAAAATCACAACTAATTATCGCACACGTTTCGAACTTCACACAATGAACTAGTCTGAACTGAACTAAATAATGAGGGTAGATTTGATTTTTAGAATTAAATGGATCTGTGTTAGGCCGAGTACTTTTCAATCCACCTAGGTACGTCCTACGGCTTACGCGACGACAATGTGAAAGGCCAAAATTTTTCATGGCCTCCAATAGATGGCGGTATACCATCTCGTATACTGGACTAAAATACAAAAACTGACGACAGGGGGCAGCATCAGAGGTATGAGACAATTATACACTACTGTGATCGAAAATCCACCTACCAAGTATAGATTAATGCAAAGAAGTGCTATTACTTGCAGATATCGTGTTATTATGCGACCAGCCCCGCCCGCCCGCTAACCAGCCAGCTATAATATAAGGGCGTTTCGGACTGCCTCAATGTTCATGATTATTTGGCTAGATCTTCTGAACGAACCTTTAGATGAAGGGAAGGTAAGGGTAAACGTAAGACAAGTAAGTCTAACGGTAGGACAGTTGTAATTACGGTTATATTGTTTTAAGTGTACCTTACATATACATTTCGGAAACCATACAAACAATGTTAGATACTATCATTTACATATAGTCAGCCAAACAGGCTGACACTGAGAGTTTCGTTTTGTTAATTATACCGTGAGACAGTAAAATGCCAATAATTTTTCAGTTTTATATAAAAAAATCTAAATGAAAACAATTTCATTATAGAAAAAGATTCGGTATTATTCCGGAGATATTTATAAATAAGGAGCTTATATACATCTCATTACTGTACCCAGGCACTATTACTAATATTTATTCTGTGACTCATGCTTCTTTTCATTTCGAAGGGGGTTTAGGTCAATGAAATGTCCACCGCCCTGCCCTAAAGTGTATCGGATGGACTGCATCACATAAGTTTTTTGTAAATTTTTCATACAAGCAGTTTTCTGTTTCGTGCGGGGATCGAAGCATCGAACCGTGTGGCTCGCGTGCTATAAAATTTACACCGCGCGCGCCCCTGAGCTACCACCACTCATAGGGTTTTGTTTTTTATAATATACATTTTTCCCACTAAAAAAAAGTCCTAATATTAGTTTAATACGAGTGTTACGTAAAACTAAACTTGTAATAAAAAGTTTCTTTTTTTAAATAAAAAAGTGACATACGAACTTATATCCACCTGATGGTAAGTGGTAACTGCATGGGCACTACAATCAAAGAAAGCTACAGCCCCAATTTCCCGATTTGAAATGATTTTATTTTATATCTTTTTAGTCCTTTGAAGTCTGCTTTTACTACTCATTAAAAGAAAAGAAAAATTTAATTTTTTGAAGATCAGAAAGTTATTGTAACAATCATGTAGGAACTTTCTGATGAAACGTTACAAGGAAAAAATATATCATCTATTCATTCCCATCTTTATGGATGGAATTTTTTCCTTTACATTTATTTATATGGGACCACTCCTGAAATTATAAAATAATTTCACATTATGAAGTCTGTGCTAAGGCTTAAAGTATTGAAAAATTTAAGCCCCAGTGAGAAATTATTTTATATTTAGTTCTTTGAAATTGGCGTTTACTTTTTACTAAAAGTAAATATTTTTACCCTTCTGAGTGGACTAATGAAGTTTGAGATTGGCTAATACTAAAAAATAAAAATGTTGTGCGACCGACTTCAATATAATTAAAATGAGAGGAACAGTCAATCAAATACGCATTATTAAGGATAACTATAAAACTACTAGTTAGATCTTGGTTAAATTTATATGGTAACCACACGAGAATTACCAGCCTTCATATAAAAAAAAAAGATCATCAATGTCGGTTGACCCAGAGAAAAGTTCTAAGGTAATATAAAAACACATATGTACAGTCGAATTGAATACCTTATCCTTTTTGAAGTCTGTAAGAAACATAAATTATTTTTCGATACTAACAGATATAATATACCTAATATTATTTTGGTGACTTGCTCTGTTTTTATTGTAGAGCTCACATGTTTTTTAAATCAGAAATTATCTCAATAAATCTAAAATTATTGAGCTCTCAAATAAAAATGATGAAATCACTGTTCACTTACCACGTCAGCGCCAGTAATGCCATCTGCTACATCTGTCCCGCCCTTGTCCCTCCAATGCTTCTCGTTTGTAACGGAAAACGAGAAGGACCTCTCCCTTCTGGGACTCAGTAACATTCCAGCCGGTGTCCTAGGGCTGCCGTATCGAAATATCTCAAGATTCGTCGTTGAGAACGGATCGCTGCCGCTGTCGGTTCTTGGACTAACAAACACGTCATCTTCCAAGTCTGATTCCAAGGTTAGTGCGAGTGGGGGCGATGAAGCGGATCTTCTACACTGCTGTGGTTGCTGCGTAGGACGTTCAATGTCTGATTCGGAGTACGGGCGATCTGTGGAAAATAAATATATTTTACTGGCATGATTTGGTAAGGAAATAAGGATCTACAACACGACAATTATAATAATAATAATAATAAGGTAAAGGCCCTCGGTAGTCTCCCCTGCAGAGGGCTTCCATCTGGTTGGGCTTTTATTTATTTATGTATTTTTGTATTTATTTTATTTTATTGATATTTATGTATATTTATCGTTTCATTTTAATTTATAAATATATATTTATATAATCCAACCAGATGAGAAAACTATATAGATACCCCAAATAATAATAATAATAATTTATTTTATTTTGATAAACTGTACAAATTATTCCAATAAGTCGTAAATTATATATCATTGATTCATTTAACCCTGGTGAATAGAAGTTGTAAGTAAGCTATCAACTAAACAGGACATATTTATGACGGCCTGGTAGTAACAACAAAATTGTTAACCTAAACTACACTTATCTAACATTAGTATGTTTAATTTATACAATAATGTGAGTTAGTACTATTGACAACGTTTGGTTTCATTCACTCACTCGTTATTGATTTCTTTGTGAAATTGTTGTTTACCATCGGCGATTTTTATGGCCAATATTTTTTTAAGCGTTGTTTGAAAAACGAGTACATAGTCCACATGGTGATAAGTGAATGCTGTGGCCTATAGATATCCACATTTACCCTCAATAATTAAGAACAAAAATGCAAATTCTTTGTCATCCCCGAGGACTAAGATGGAATGGCTCGATTCCAGTAAGAATGGTCTCCGGTTCTCTACACTCACCATACGAAACACAGCAGAATTACGCTGCTATTTTATGCTGGTATTCTGTGCGAGCGTGGTCCTCGATCGAGCCGACTTATTCCTGCTACAACTATAATATAGCTGCAGCACGGCTATGACTTAAGGACGACAAAGAAACGAGCTTACTGCTTTTTAAAAGGCCGGCAACGCACCTACAATTTCCCTGCTGTTACAGTTGTTCATGGACGGCGGTCAATACTTACCATCAGGTGAGCCGCAGGATCATTTGCCGCTTCGTCTTTAGAAAAAAGGACGTGGGATACCATTGAAATAATATGTACTTACGTACTAGAACAGCTATCTCAAACAAAAAAATGTGCGCTACTCTGTGTTCGCGCGGTTGTTTTTTTATCATAGAATAAACATAGGTAGAATGATCCGTAGGTAATAGTAGATTGTATTGTTAAATTGGTAAATTTTATCGAGAATAATATTTAAATTTTATCATTTATTTTGTATATTATATTTGCTTATTTAATATAATGTTACATAATATTATATCACAATTTTATTTCAATGATATTTTTATGTGAATATTTTAAAAGGTATCTATGTCAAATATAAAAAAAAACATACTGAATGTATGTTTAACAAAACTTATTAACATAACATTTAAATTACAAATATATTTATTTAAATTAGAATAAGAGTCGTTCATTAAATGCTGGGCACGCGAGAGTTAAAAATGGACGAATTTATTCCAATTTGACTTTGATGTGGAAACCTAAAAATAAAATAAAAGAATAATAAGCAGATTTAAATATGAAAAATTTAGCCTAATTATAATAACTTATATATTTTTATACAAAAAAATGTGTATAATAATATATTCGTCCTATAGTTAAGTACCTACATAAATGTCGCATCTGAACATATTAATTTCATAATCTATATTTCATGACACGAGATGGCGTCTTAGGAATAATTTGTTTTATTATTAATTCTTAATACTTTTTTATTGATTAAGTATCTTATTAACCGACGAAAATAATTGCTTGGTTTTTACTGACATTTCTTGAATAATTTGTACAATATCTAAGAACACACGATGTCATATTTTTATCAAGAGATTTTTTTTTAAATCAACACAACACGTAACAACTCTACAAGCGCCTAGCGAGTGACTGATTAAAGTGCGGTGTATGCACTGCAGTTGAGTGGAACAGAATAGCTGAATGCAGTGTCGCCTCTAGTACGTTGTACATAATAGCTCAATGTGGGATACCAATGAAATTCGAATAACTAAATCTCTATTAAATAACTGAATTGGAATCTATAATCGTAGGTTTGGTTTAGTTTTACATTTTATACAGTAAGTAAAGGTGTCAAAGGTGTAGAAAAATGTAGTATGGTAATATGCAATTTTCCAAAATACTCTCTCCTTAAGCCACAAGGCGCTATATATAAAATTAACATACAAATTCTAATAAGTGATTAATAGAAATGAAGTGTAAATAAATGTTTGACTAAATTATTTGGTTCCAATTGTCACCAATATATCAACAAAACATGTTTTAAAATAAATGTAAGAATATATATCGGATGTTTATTAGCGGCCATTTCACCTACACGTCATGTTGGCTTGACAACATGTCGTGGGCGGGAACATAACATTGTTTTATTTTTAGCGAGTTTTATAGAGTCTAGGGCATTGCCTGTTCTGCCGATTGAAAAATAGATATTTTATTTCCTTTTTTTTTTTTTGTGAAAAAGTTTACTTTTAAAATGCAGATATCTTGTAAACTGCAACGTATAAGTTATAGCGAAAAAGTTAAAATAATTTTATACAAATTTAAACTTAACCTGGTATAGCGAATGGCAACCGACAAATGGCGATATACCGTAGAGCGTACCAGGGCAACAGGAACAGTCTAGTGATTGGGTGCAGACGAGGGTAATGAATTAACAATCTTTTAGAGTACTGGGAATGGGCAAATTTTTAGGGTAATTATAAAGGCCCTATCTTCAAAAGACAAAGAATGGATTTTAAAAACTTGTTTTAGAATAATAAGAAAAAGTGTATTTATTCAACACAAATTCAAATTAATATGTGACCGTGAAGTGGCGGTGTAAGAATGTTCACTACCCCATACAACGGTATTGGTGGGTGTCATTATTATAATTAATATTATATTGACTTTCTCAACTGTTGTAATCTTACACAATATGTTGAAGTACCAACGCATTTTACCGAAAGTAGTAACACTCTCATAGATGTGTGTACTAACGCACCGGTATCTCATATAAAAGTAGACTATATTAGTGATTTAAGTAGTCATGCCGTAGTTCTGTGTGAATTTAACTGTGGTTAAATTGGGACAGAGAAAAAAAAATACAAGTTGAACAAAAAGTCCTTCTCCTGTCCTGTTTCAATGTCCTCTCAGTTTCTCTCTATCAACTTTAACGGTACCTACGGGATGATTTTGTAATAGAGGAATCTTTTAGAACGCAAGTACACGGTGACCGATAAGGTGCAGTAGTCCTTTAATAAAAAAGTGCTTTGTAGGGGACTGCTGAGAACAAGAAATAAGTAGAATTTACAAAATAATTCTTGCAATCAAAAATTCAAACCGCTATTGTTGATTTAGAATTAACTTTATTGCTACGACAAAGTGATCACAGTTAGATAAAACGTTGACTCCTATATAACAAAAGAGATAGAATTTTTTTTTTCAAAAATAACATATTTTGATGACTATACCTACTTATGACGTTTAAAAGAAAAAAAAACTATAAGAAATCACTTCTAGAAATCAAAAGACAACATGACAAATGTATTCATCCAAAATACGAAAAACGAAGAGTCAGACTGCGAGACAGAACAAAGGGGGCAATTTGTTATCAATGAAATCGATGGACCAAGTACCAGGATACCAAGAGTCCGTTGGAAGTAATATACAGAATGTATAAGAAACACAAATTAATAAAATCTTGTGCCGTCCGCAGGCAAAACTCGTTTTGTCATGGCACACGTGCAGCGACCGGCTGCTAGGAAAAAGGTAAAGTGGATAATACTGTCTCTGTCTAAAGTGCAACGTTCAGAATATTGTGGATGCGGTGGTCAGGCCTAACCGCAATGTCTAGGCAACAGTTTTAAGTTACGTAAGTCTGTATTCCAGTTTCATACGCGCTAATTACGTTTTATTTTATTAGAGGTCCATGTAGGGCAAGAAATATAAATCATTCAAAGGGATGCCAATTTTTGGGAGATCATTATTTGCTATAAATTTTAAATTCAGATAAATGATCAATAGTGACTCTTTTTTCACATCTCTTGAAAATGCGGGTTAGAGTTAATGGGTGTTATATACATTACTATAACTAAAATGAAATTACTTATGTGTTTTTACAAGAATTTTTACTACAAAGGGAAAAACTGGCTCACGGTCTAATTGTTAGTAGTCGTCGTATTAAGTGAACCTTACCCGCCAGTTTTAAGCAAAGGCTTTGTAAAGAAGAAGTATGTAATGTCACGTTTGTGAATACTCAAATGTTGTACTTACTTCGTTACAAATAGTAATTTTAAAAATTAATAAATAATATAATATGATAATATTAAAAGTAATTTTTAAAAAGGTAGGTGTAAAGCGTAGACTTTTAAATTTTTCTGTTAATTTTTATTACATTTTTAACTGTTAATAATACAAGTTGTTATATCAGCAAGTTGATTGTAGGAAGTTATATTAGCGTTGGAAGACGTTTTCAAGCTACTGGACTGGAAAGTATACGGTATTAACATCAATGGCGAGTACATCACTCACCTTCGATTTGCCGACGATATAGTCCTTGTGGCAGAATCGCTGGAGGACCTTAGCACTATGCACAATGACCTCAATGGTGTCTCCCAACGGATAGGTCTTAAGATGAACATGGACAAAACAAAGATCATGTTTAATGTCCATGTCACACCGATGCCGGTAGTTGTTGGGAGCACTATGCTCGAAGTTGTTGACGAGTACGTTTACCTGGGACAAATAGTCCGACTAGGTAAGTCCAGCTTCGACCGAGAGGTCAATCGACGGATTCAACTCGGCTGGGCAGCGTTCGAGAAATTACGACACATCTTCTCGTCAGGTATACCTCAATCTCTGAAAACTAAAGTGTACAACCATGTGCTGTTTCCAGTGATGACTTACTGGCCTTCACTCTCCTATGAGGACGCTCAAGGTCGCTCAGCGAGCTATGGAGAGGGCTATGGTCGGAGTTTCTCTGCGTGATAGACTCAGAAATGAGGATATCCGCAGTATAACCAGAGTGACCGACGTAGCCCAACGGATTAGTAAGCTGAAGTGGCAATGGGCCGGCCATATAGCTCGAAGAACCGATAACCGATGGGGAAGAAAGGTTCTCGAGTGGCAGCCTCGTAACGGTAGGCGTAGTGTAGGGCGACCCCCCACTAGATGGAGTGACGACCTGGTAAGACATGCAAGAAGTCGATGGATGCAGGTGGCTCAGGACCGTGCTTTGTGGCATTACTGGGGGAGGCCTATGTTCAGCAGTGGACTTGTGAACGGCTGTAATGATGATGATGATGATATTAGTTAAAGCATAATTGTTTTTAATCATTACGTTGATGTATTAAAACTTAAAAATAAACTAGTAGTTTATTTAGCTTAACAAAACTAGAAACGGCAACGCATCTGCTATTGCCCTGGTGTTGCAGTTGTATACATGGCACTTGCTACTTCTAGATTTAAAAAAAAAAACTAAGCACGATAAACGACTTATATGATAATAACCGGATAATTTTACACTTTATGCTACATATTTA